TATATATATGCAATTTATAATAGAAAACAAAGTCGTAATTGTATCAAAAAATGTTATTTTATATATTTTTTTTATTTTATATTTTATATATTTTTTTTACTTTTTTTTTTATAAAGAATTTAGTAGTAAAAAGAACTCTGGCGCAATAAATATCGATAATATAAAAGAAAAATATATCTAAGAGTCGGTTTGTTACTTGTTATCGACATGTATACTCTAGCATTGCCATCTTTAGTCATAATTTCACAACAAAAGTTTCATAATTATAAGACTTATTCATATCTAGAGACATTTTCATTTCAATACTAGGGAAATACTCATTTTTGTAGAATGGTACTCTCCATCATATGTTTTGTCGTAATGTAAATGTAAAATTGTATTTTTTATACATATATTACATAAAATTAGAGTTGTTTTACACACTTTTTGATATTAAACACTTTAAAACAATCAATTATAATACAATATGGTCATGCATTTTTATTTTATAAAGCCAAATTATTACTTTTTTACTAATTTAGTTTTCACGAATTCGATTCGCTTAGGTAATTGGGGGAAATATTACGTACACACCATGTAATCATTTTTATTGGGATGCGTTTTTTATTTCCAATATTATATCTGGTGAATAATAATTAGTTAAATAAAACTCATGTATTACACGATGAATAAAGCGAGCATCACTATATACATTTAAATATTACTGATCCGTATTTATCACGGAATGCATTCTTGCAGTATCATCTACGCGCGAAAAATCGGTTCAGCGTTCTAGCTCTGTGAGATATCGTTAAAACTTTTACTTTCAACATTCCTTTCAACACTATATGGAAATGACGCTTTCTCTCTTTCTCTTTCTTTCTTTCTGTTAAAAATTCAACATCTAAATTTGTCGGATAATCTCTAACATCAGCCTGCGCAGCAATATTATTAATTAACTTACTCATACAAACACGTGCGTTGTAATATGACGCATATTCGTAAGTCGGTCCCATGTGCGTTGTCCTGTAAGGCAAATATATACCTGAACATCGAGAACACTCAAAGCACACGAGACCCAGAATAATGCATTTACTAAAGCAATATTTATAGGGTAGTTATATAAGTTAGGAAACATCGCCAGTAGAACCAAAATTTCACTCGCAAAATTTGATTGTTGGCAGAAAGCCGTGTGTGTGTGTCAAAAGAACAACTTTTTATTTTATCTCTTCAAACAAGATAAAATATTCAACATTACGTTTCATTTAAAGAAATATACATATTTTTTCGCAATAACATAATCGTTTAGAAAAAAAAAGAACAATAAAACTGGAAGACACAAAGATCTCACGCATAAGGAAAATAAACACTTCCGACTATTATTAATAAAACGCAAGGTACTCACTTAAAACCACCTTATACACAACTTACTCGCATTTGGTAATCGCTTTGAAAGTCTATTTTGAAATTAAAACAGAGTTAAATTTTACTGGCGAAGTGTCTTGTAGGAAGATCTCTTTTATCGAATAATCTTCTTTATTATAATCTGTAGTGAAAAAAGTATTATATATTATGAAGATAAATTCTGGAACACTTTGCTTGTCGAGAGAACCTGATCGGATCTCTCGCCGCAATATCTACTATGCATATGCGTAAATATGTAGGAGAGTTGTAAAAAGCAGATACAACACTAACGCAACACTTTATAAATACCAAGAAGAATATATACAAATTGGAATATTCTCACTTGTTTTTGTTTTTTGTTTTTTTCTATCATAAATGAGAAGTTTGGTGAACAAAATTGTAAACCTTTGTTCTCTCATTGCACATTTAGTGTTGAATATTTGACGCAAAATATTGTTCCTTTGTTATTGCTTCTTGAATATCAAGGTTTTAATGCCGATATGAGTGCGTTTTTAAATATACATGATGGTATATGTATATTTTTTTTTTTTTTTGGAAACCTTGAATCCCTCGCGATCGAAAGTTATTCGGGCATGTATCTTTCGTTAGAGTAGAATTATTTTCACGTGTTATAGAGACGATATTATGTTTCACCACACGCACACACACCCATATTTTTTCACACTGTAAAAGTCTATAAAATCGAGTTAAACCGCAACTTATAAATTAAATAGTTGATACCATAAATATTTGACATTTGACTGTGAACCTGCATCGCTGGAAATATTCCGGTTTTTTTCGATCGCAAAGGGTTAAATTTTCACAAGTAAAACAAGTCTTGTCTGAGAAAAAAAAAACGGAGGACTGGATTAAATGCTAAATGTGCGGCGAGTGTGTTACAGATATCTATTGAATATCGGCAAACCTATTCTACTTTTGGACATCATTCTCTAATGACCATCATTCGAAACGCATTTTATAAGTAACTGTAGAGCGCATACACTGAAAAGAATTAAAATATTCGAATGAAGAATTATATTATCGTGTCGATAAAAACTTGCTACAGCGTTTGATTCATTTCAAGATCAGCATTATGATCCGTCCCGTCTTCCATCGAATATCTGTAAGCTCCAACATTTTGCGCGTTCTCCTCCGCTTTAATGGAATTGCCAATCCGATCATTCTCGGTCTTACATGTTTCACTCGACGTTGTGATATTATTTTCTTCTATATGAACTTCTGTTTTGATTTCTTGCTTAACAAACCCTTGTTTTCTGGTTTTAGACTCTCTTTTTGTATCTGTTCTCTCTCTTTCGTACATAAACGTTTTCCGTTTCCTTTTCATCGGCTTGCACACCTTCTTGTACAACACATTCATTTCTTTTATTCTACTAGTGGGAATTGTCCAATCCATCTCTTTAGCGGTTGTGTCAGAATTTCGTGTGGGATCCATGCTGCTCTCGTATTCCGGGATTTCCAATCCCAGTTTTTTCATAACCGCGACCATTATTTCATCGACGTTGCCATTAATAATTAAGTCAGCTTTCTTGTCCTACAGTTAGAATTTAATTTAGTAGCAATTATGTAAACAAAACAAAAACAATGAATATGTATTATTATTTTTTATAATAAACTTTTACATGTTTCGTTTGTTGCAGGTTACATATAACGAGACGACCTCCGTATTTCTTCGTATACAAAGGCAAATTGCCACTTGGAATAATTTGCAGTGTCGTTCCCAGACATATACTTAAATCGGCAACACTAAAACAAAACATTTAGAAAAGTCATATAAATAATTCTTAATGTAAAATTATATCTTTTTTAAATTTATGCGATATTATATATAACTCTGAAAATATTTATAATATAAAAATATTTATCTTATAAAGTAATATTTTTTCACTTTGTTTTATGTTAATGTACGATTATTATATAACTTACCTGGAATGTAAGTCAGATAGTCTCAGATCACTATCTGGCAAATTATGCTCCCAATCGAGAATGGTATCGTGCATTCGACCACGGCATGGACGACCACCTATTTGTTCCGATCTACACACTGTGTCTAAAGATTTTTTTCCGACACTTTTGGTTGCGAAGTTGCGAATGAACTGCCTGCAAGATCATTTGCATTATCTCTGTCTCTTATATAGTTTTATTTTTTTAAATACATAAGATTATTTTCAATATATAGAATTGTTTTTGGTAGAATTTTATTTATTTTTTGTACATATACTGCTATATATATATATATATTATATACAAACCTGCCGCATTTGTCACACTGCTCCGTAAACATGTTTCCGTGTAGTTCCGCAAGATGTTGCCTCTGTATGCCAGATCGCAAGTGCAATCCGTCTATGTTTTGGCTTATGATAAATTTTACTTTTTCTGAAAAAAAAAAAAAAATGTTAAGTAGTCAACTCGTGTGAAATTTCGAAATGCTTTTAACATTTATACACGTACTGGCCTCTATCAGCTTTTTCAAAGCCATGTGTGTCTTCGTAGGAACTGCTTCGTCAAAGGAAATGTTCATTGTAGGCTTTAAACCTTTCTGTTCCAATGTCCATACACCATTTGTACCCCTAATCAAAAAGATTTTTCTTGTTTAAATTGTCCAATGTGTACATGTACTAAATATAAAATTTGTAAATATAAAATTTTTGTTTGATTATATCAAGTGGCTAAACTATGATCATCAAGTATATTTTGTTTACAAATATATATATACATATTTTTATGGGTTGGAATATAAACAAAACAATGTAAACACAACCATATTAAAAATATATACATGTCACTTTTAAAATAAATTTTCTTATATTGGATGATTATATTAAACTTTTTTTCATAAATATTTTATATTGCAATGTCACAATATAAAACATTGTTTAATTAGTATGACTCAGCAATATTAGAACTGTGTCTTTCATCTCATACTTAAGTTGCATGCTTCAAGACTCTTCGTACACATGTGTGTCTTGCGATGTACAGTGTCAAGCACTATCTTCAGTAGCAGTAGATAGGAAAAGCAGATGACAAGGAAGCTCAGGAAAAATCAGGAAGGATTCAGTTTCTCTTAGAAACTTTGTCAGACGATAGTCACCGGAAATCGGGGATACCCGCGGCGGTGCTGATACCGGCACCAGTGTGAACCACGACGTGACGTGCACCTTGTATCCAGTCCGCCAGTAGACCGCATTTCAGACGCAGAGTTTCAACGCTGTCGTATCTCTGCAAACAAAAAGTCAGAAAAGAAGAAAAAAAAAATTTAGAGCGAAATTTATTTTTTTCTTTTGTTTCGCTCAAAAACAAATTGTCATCTGAGACGCATCACAAACGCCACCGCATCTATTATCTCTCACGTCGCTCTGTAACATCAAAAAAACTGAGAAAAAAAAACGATTATCTGATCTCGATCCGAGTATTGTTTTTCTTTTTTGTTTTTTTTTTTTTTTACCTCCTCCAGTCCCAGCACTCCTTTGTTTTCGTACGGCGATAACCCGTCCGCGTAGCTGGATGACATTTTCGCGCGGCTGCTCTCGGCCCGAGAGAAGTTCTCCGTTTCGCGTACCCTAAACAGACGCCTGAGACGCCACGAAGACAGCGAGTTCGCGTTTTACGATCGTCCGAGTGATGCCAACGCGATTTTAGCCGCGCTCCGGCCGCGCTTCCATGTGTCAGATGGATACGTAAACAATATGAATCGGGCTAATGACCGCGTGCTGTTATGTTTATACGCTACGAATGACGATAAGTGATAGGAAACTCGAGACCCGCGGAGAACGCATTCTGTTTTATAGACTGCACTGCATGCAACGAAATGGCACTTGAACAGAAAGAAGATAATAAACCCCCCTGGGCATGCGCGATACAGTCGTGCGCCCTGCAGGCTGTGGTCACTTGTTCCGCCGCCATGAACACCGGGTTTCTCTCGCGTGCATGCAATTCATGCACGAGCTATCGACCGAGCGAGGGTAGCGAGGGCGGGAATTTCGAAAAATCGCTCGGACAACACGTTCTGAAAGACGTTCAAAAGATTGTTGAAAAACATAGCGCACACTTTTGTAGATGTAAAAAAGAAAAACGTTGCGGCAGTGTATTAGAGAGACGTACTTTGTTTTACAATAAATATAAATCGAGTTCATTATAATTGTTATTATCATGTTGCAAAAACAATTGCTCGATTTTCACGATTTTGAGAATGAGAAATAACGCGCGAATGAGAAAACGAAAAAAAACGAGTTAGCGCGTGAAAAACAATTCGTGATTTGACGTTTGAAAGAAATCCGTTAATTTTTAATCCTTCGGCACTCGCACGGCACGAAATAAAATAACTGTGAACACGTTGAAGACGCTTTTCTTCGTTACCTTAACTCTCAATATGATTCGTGTCTGTTTCCCGCAAAAATAAATTAAAATTAAAACGTCACGCAAAATACCTAGAGGGGTTCAAAACGTTTCGCCGCTCCTTCTTCGAAAACGTTCGCCATATTGAGCGCGACGGTCGTCTCGTCGCGCGGCCAATCAGATTCCGTTACCTCGCCCTTTCGTCTATGCGAACATCCTCACCTCGTCGAAGTTTGCACGTTACGCATCTTTCTCCTCTGTCTCTCTAATTTTTTCCTCTGTGTCTCTACGAAAGAGATTCCGCGGAATGGAAATGAGCTTGGGTTGCGTTTCGTCATTGCGAATTCCCGACCGGTTTTTCCGCGATTTCGCCGCCTAGGAAGTTTTTTTTAACAGCGCGCGATGTCGTCTGCTTCGTGTTAATAAAAGCGGTACATCGTCTCGCGTATCACACGAGTGTGTATGTCCTCCGACAAGCCGAGGAGCGCGCGTCGCACCGAGGAAAGATGAGGGGTGCCAGGAAAAAGAAGAAAACGTACTGTTACTGAAGCAATCCGGTCCGTCGAACATGCGGTCAGTCGAGTGAACGGTCATTTATTTTTTTTTTTGCACATTAGCGCAAATATCGCAAGCATATAACCTACCTACACGCGCACATATATATATATACATATACATATATACATATATATACAAAAAGCAATTGCGAGAAGAGAGAGAGAGAGAGAGAGAAAGAGAGAGAGAGAGCCGCGCGTCGTCTCATCGATGTGTGCCGCCAGGTGATTCCATAAGAAAATACACTCCCTCTCTTCTTTCACTCTCTTCTCCCTCCCTCATCGCGCTCCGTTCTCTTCGTCCTCTTCGCTCGCAACGCTTTCTACCTCGTTCTCGCTCCGACTCGCACCATCCCCGGCGATATATAACCTCCAAACCGTCGGCGAGAGACGTGTCTCGCGTCGCTCGACGTTCGCCGTGTTTTCCGCACGGCCAAACGGGTTCCGAATGTGCGTGGCGCGGTTCGTCTTGTCGCAGCGGGTGTTTGTGAGTTCCTGGAGTTTCTCACCACATGTGACTTGTAAGTAAATCCCCCGTCGCCGAGTTTTCTAGAATGACGCATAAACGCGGAAAAGGCGTTTTTTTTTTTTTGTTTTTTTTTTTGGTTTCGTTTTTCTCTGGCGCGTCCTTCGCACAGCCTCCGAACGCGCGAAATTTCGTCGGAATTTTTGCAACAAAAAACGAGAGAAAGAGAGAGAGAGAGAGAGAGAGAAAGCCATCCGGCTCTCTCGTGAGATTAGCGCTTATAATATTACTTTCCCTTTACAGTATCGTTTTAGCGAACGAACGATGATTTTTTTAGAGCACCGATGATATCAGAATAGAATTTGTTTGATGTTTTGTTTGGTACGTATCTTCATTGCAAAGATTTTGGCGGTTGCGTTCGGAGAGAGCGACGTCTTTTTTTTTTTTATAAATTTTTCTTTCCCCTCTAAATATTCTGTCTCTTATGTGAGCAAAAGCGCAGGCAAAAAAAGTGAAACAAAAAGTATCTTGTTTTAATTGCAAAATATACGTACAGAGAGAAAAAATAATTTGCTTGTGGTAAAGTGAAAAAATAATAACTTTCGAAAAGGAAACAAAAAATTTTTATGCCATAACGAAGTCATTAATATTAATAAGGGAACAATCACACGCGTGTGTGCCGCGCGTTATATATTTTATTCGCTACAATATTTCGAACGTTTTGACGTGTCGAACATGTGATAAAATCAAAACGCACGAAAACACATCCCGTGTCTTACTTCAAGCTTGTTGTCACAACCTTTGCGCAGCAGATTTTGTTTTCGAACCCGTATTGTTTTTCAAATAAAAAAAAGTTAGTGTTAACAAGTGTTCGACTTTTATACATACGATTTTCAGTTATTTACACGGAATCTTTTTTTTTTTTTTTGTTTTATTGAACAAATAAATCAAACGTCTACGTTGGGTGCTAAATGCCGCGCTAACTAGAAACGAGAATACGAGACTTTGTCACACATAATGAGAAAATGCACGTATATATCATCTTACAGCGAGTAATGCCCGCTTGCAGCATGACATTAAACTTTAGACATTGCATTGCATAAACTTGCACTGCGCCATTGTATGTCACTCCGTTCAAATTGCAAAATTGTTATTGATGAAAATAATTGCGTTAAATAACTCGGGAGATTTAATAATTATTTATGCGAAATTTTCTCTACATCGCACGCGAAAACACCGCACGTAAACACATTGAGCGACATTACTCTTTTCCAACTACGTCACTGGCTCGCCCTTTTTTGTCAGATACTGTAACAAGCGGGCAAACACACGCAAAGTGTGTTATTTTGTGTATACAACACGTCCTAGATGCAAATGTTGTCTCAGAGATAAACCTTTAATGAATATCGCACCTGTCCCTTCTTACAAGTACTCTCTTACGTGGTAAAACTACACGGTAAATATTCTTAGTAGCTAAAAAATCCACTAGTTAAAAAACTTAAAAAAAAAATATTTTCTCTTGCACATTTTTTTCCTTTTTTCCACGAGTTCTTAAATACACGGCAATGCGCATTTGAGAAATTTCGAACTTTTCGAAAAAACTCGGAACAATTCGTTTCGTAAGAATTACATTTACGTTATCCTCGTCACGTAATTGATATGTGATATAAAAAAATTCGTTTCGTAAGAATTATATCTCAATTTTCACCGATATGTTATTTCTCAGCAATCACGCGATAACAGATATTCGAATGGAAATATGAATGATTAATTGATAAAATATCATCGATTAAAAATGAAGCGCACACAAACAAAAAATGTAATATCTCCTTGAGTGTTATATAAAATACAATTTGTTTACATTATAAAGTAGCGGTTTGTACAAATGTTTTATTTAAATTACGTGCGTGTTCCGTGTATTTAATGTTTAAAATAAGTAACACGTGAAGAATCGATTAAAGAATTGGAGAAAACAATTTGTGGAAACGCGCTTGCGGAGAGAACGCATTCAGGTAAATTTATATACAGTTTCTTTGTCTTCTGCTAGTCGAAGAAGAATGCACTCGGTCGAACCCCGTGACGCACAGGTACTAGAACCTGAAACGTTATGAATAAACCATGGGCGCGGTCAAATTTCGCATTATTTCGGAATTTTTGTAAAAAAGATTTACGTTTTTTTTTAAAAAAGGTCACGAGAATTTCGTTCGATCTTTAATACGTTTCGGACTGTTCTTCGAGAAAAACACGCCACTATATCTTGTTACACAAAGACATTTAAAATGTCACTTTTACGAGCAACACAAAGTAAGATGTCGGCGTGCGTGATGTTTTGATCTTTCAAACTGTTCGAGAGACAAGTTTGTCTGTGGGGGATGATGTTCTTCTGAAATTTATCAAAGAAAACTCTTAAAGTTGATTGCGATAAAAAAACATGCCAGAACAAGCAATGTCACCTTGTCCGCTCGTGAAAGAAAAACAAATAATTATTGTTTTGATATTTAATCAGAAAAATATTATATTTGACAAGCAAGATATATTACCTTCTTGAAACAGAGTATACTCGGAGCTCTGTGCGCATTCTAATAATCAATAATACTTTTTTTTAAATAAATGTATAAGAGACGTGTACGCGCGCGCACACATACACAAGCATATAAAAATATAAATTTTTAACATATAATAATAAAATATAATAAAATATTTAACATATAATAAAAAATAATATATCTCAACACACAGTGTTATTTTTTTCATTTGTAATACTACGTAAAGAAAAGGGTGTGTTTGTATTTCCCCCGAGATCTTTGAAAAAATTACTTTTACCAACGGCAAAGGCATGGGAGCGAAAGAGAGAGAGACCCCTTCCACGAATATTTTTCTCTTTTCTGTAAGTCGCCCCGACAGGCGCCGCGGGTCTGGTGCCACGCTGCTTGGCAATGTGTGTTGGACATAAGAGATGAGGAACGTGCGTCATCACCCAGTTTCAGACGTACGACAAATTCGTTGCCGTCTTTGTCGTCCTTCTAGTCGTTCATGAGATTCTTTCTCGCGTGCATAGACGTGCGGATCACACAACGTGGTTCTCTCTCCCCCCTCCCTCCCGTTTGATCTAGCGTACCTGTAAGGGTCAACGATCCGAGTGCAGGTAAGAAATGCCCACCAATGATTCCCACGTACGTGGATTCCGAGGGTTTTTTTTTTTGCGAAAAAATTTATTCCGTTCATCCCAAAACGGGGTTAGTGCGTTTTTTTCTTATACAAATATAGACACGCGAGGCGAAATCAATTTATGTGCAACGCAAAGTTTATGTTACACGTGCGATTTGTGTTGTGTTTACGACAAAATAATATAGTGTCCGTCAAAGAAGAAAACGTGATCGGTTTAATTTACAGAAAAATTTATTGATATAAAGCCAAAAAATACACACGTTCATTTTACTTGATTGAAATTAAAATGCTTTTATATATTACTTAACGCGTCCGGAATGTAAATGTAGCTCTCTCTCTCTCTATATTGATATGACTCGCCAGACCGGCGTTTCCGAAAATTTGCGAGAACGCTTAAATTTACATGTAACATGTAACTATGTAAAATACTTTTAGTATTTAAAATGAAAAGAGAGTTTGACGCATTTTTAATAATCTGTACGCGTGAAAAAATACATCGTAGCAACATAGATAGTGTATATGAAAAATACTTATCTTTCGATATGAAATGCAAGAAACGCGCTTTATCGCTTATCACCATCATAACTCAATATGATATCGCAACAAGTATTCATAAAAGTGACGGAAACAATTTTTAATCTCTCTCTCTCTCTCTCAAAAATTATTGAGTAATATATCTTGAATTTTTTTGACTAATTGCTCCGTTACTTAAACATTTCAATATTCAGATCGAATATTTGCGTTACGTAGTACGTGGAGTACGATCTCGTGTGGATTGTGATGTGTAATTTGATGTACGACGTAATAATTTGATGTGCAATAAGAAAAGTAAAAAAAAAAAAAAAAACCACATTCGGAGTCTTATCCTCATGAAAAATGATTCCCGTGCAGGGAATGTACGCCTAAATATAATCCGAAATTGGATTTTCATAGGATCGCGTCACATCAATATCACGCGAGATAAACTGTCGTAAATATTCAGCATTTACTTGTTTATTACTACGTCGCTACGTGCTGAAATCGCAAGATCGATAACGTTTACTTTACAAACCGATGATTCAAGGGATCCAAGCAATCAACCCCCCTTGTGTGCACAGCACTCGGTTCTTAGAGAGAAGTGATATGAATATTATCAAAATCCTTCGGAAAGATAGAGGGTTGATATCGGTAAGCGTTGGTCGGTAAATGTATTCAACGACGGAAATCCTCCGCGCGCGATTCAATTTCATTCAATTTCAAGCAAGAACTGATCCGTGTCCTAATTAGTTCAAGTTATTTAGCAATAAAACACAATAACGAAACACGATAACGAATAACTCGCACACGTTTTCGCTCACGTTCGTTCGTTACGGAACGAATTGCGAAAATGCGAAAAGAGTAGTTTGTCTCGATGGTTGTCGGAGGCAATCGACGCTGTATGTCGAAATCACTTATGATCTAATAAATACGGTTGCCTAATCGCTTGCTCGTGCGGAGAAAATGCCAACGCAGGAAAAGCAAAGTCGTATCATTTCGAGGTCACGTACAAATCGTACCATAAATTATACGAGATTGCTAGAAAAGCTAAATTTGTGCATTTCTCGAATTATACGAGAGATTGCAAGACAATTAATTGTATTTCTCTCGCGAATAACGATCTATTGTGTATGTGTCTGCAATATCTGTTATTTAGGAAAACGTGTATTCTCTCTAAGTGTATTATTTGATTCGGTCAGATTTGTTTTCGAATATTGAAAGAGAGCGGAATGACGGGGTGGAGAGTTCAATTAGGTTAATGTTTCAGAGTGGTTTTTTTTTTTGCGCGTAAAGTTTTTGCGACTGATCGGAAAGATCGTATTATCTGAAATTTTTTGTTCATTATCCGAGATTTCGTCAAAATAAATTACGTCAGTAATTGTTGTGCGATAAAACAAATTCAAATCAGCTTGTTTCGATGTGTATTATTCCTTCGCGGTGTCAAGTGGAACAGAGAGAGAGAATAAATCCATTCGAAACTGTGAAATCTGATTTTTCGCTATTTATTGTATCACACACACACACACACACACACATTTTTAGATACAAACGCGTAAAAACATCATGTAATTACTCCTTGTTTTAATGTAGATTAAATTAATTTTAATGTAGATTATGCCAAAGCGCATGAAAATTGAAGAGACGCCGCGTATCTTCCCCTTGTTTGATGTGTAACACGTGTCTCTCATATGACAGCACAGAAGATAAACGATATCTCGATTAAACATGAATTGTGCTCGGGTATTGCTCGCTAAATAGTAGCATGATTTAAGAAAAAAAAAAAAAACGCGATAAACGATATCACACTGCATGCTTTGTGCATACGTGGTTATTTTTTTTGGAATTATCATCAATTCGCGATACAACAGTAACGAGTAATCGATTTGAAATTTTTTATGTTGCGACGAAAGGAAATGTCGCAAAACGTGTTCAGTTTCAATTAACTCGAGGCGCGCGCTCGATTCGTCTTTTTCAATATATTCTATCTGTTCACACAAAGTGGAACACGAGCGATACACTTCGGAAATATATTTGCTCTAGTAGAAAAATCTATAATCTATATCGTAACCAAGATAGAGAGAGAGAGAGAGAGAGAGAAATAAAAACGTATTAAGAAAATTAATTCTAAATAGCACGTTCAAGGCCAAAATGACATTATAATCGATAACGATCTATTATAACTAATCTATTGTCCAGTTCAGTCCAGCTTGTTAATAGCGTCATTAAAACTAAAAGCTGTTTGACAGATACTCAGGTGATACTTGAGTATTTTTCTTGCACATGTGCATAAACAAACGCAGTGTTTTTCTTATACAATTTGCAAGTTCGTTACATTTGTTTTTAAAATAATAGTTTTTTATATACGTTTTTAAAATGAAAGATAGTATATATATGTATAATTTATTATTATATGTAACGATAATAATTTACATCGACACTTGTGTATTGGCTCGCATTTTCAACTGTTTGTTTTTGAATTTTCACTCATTCATTACGTTAAAAATGTCAAAGTTTCTCAAATGTTTTAAATAGATAAAATACGTTCAAATATTTATACATAAAAAATGCAATCTTTGATTACGAAAGTCCTTACTTTTACGAATGAATACGGAGGAGTTGTGTCGCTTTACATTTATATATACACATAAGTTATATAAAAGATTCATATCTATGTAAAAAAGTTTTTCTCTAACGTTCCGGCAATTCGCTTAATATATTGCTTAGAATGCAATAACGAATTCATTACGTGCTGACCAACCGTCGCTATTTGTTCGTGAACTTCTCTCCATGCCCTTGACTGAAAAGTATACAGTGCATATAAGTCGCTTTGAAATTATGGCACTGGCATAGCGGTATTTACGGAACACGTTGAGTCTCGTCACACACAAACTTACGTGCTTATCATCAAGATACGAGAAAATGGTTGGGAAATAGATTTACTTGATAGTGTTTTTTTTTTTTTTTTTCTTTTTAATTGCGAAAAATACGCGCGAAAACCAACTCGCAGAACTATATATCGCACGTACTATCAATAATATTGCGGAAACATGAGAAAAAAAAACTTCGATAAACATGACGATGTTCTTTTATATGTACATAAGTATGTACATGTATATATGCACACATAAAAAAAAAAGTAAGTTACAAACATGACAAAACATATTTGTATGATTTCTCACTTCTGAAGTGATAAGTGACACGACGTTGTGTCACTAAAGAAATCCCAAGACAAACATTAACATCAAGACAGGATTGATTAATGTCAATAGTCATATATTATATATGTATAACACACACATACATCTGTAAGCGGTTACTATCCATTGATTCGTGTGGGAAAGTTGATGCAACCGACACTACTTAATACTTTTTAACTTACTTACTTCGTCTGAAACTTACGGATCGGATGAAAGTACGTTATTGTTTATGAAACTTTCAAAATACTCACCTTGAAAACGTGCGCGGAAAAGTTGATACGCGTACAATTGTTTTTTTCTCGCGTCATATGTATCTCGCAAAAATATTCTAATTAAATTTATTACGATGAACAATTAAGATGTAACAAAACTAACTCTGCGTAACATTATTTTTGTATAATACACTCTCTTTGTATAATATAATATTTGATAATAAATTGGATTTTTCTTACGCACATGCAATATTATAATTTATTTATTTCTCAAAATGATTTTCGAGTTTGAACCGCGTTTTAGTGTTATTTTTTATAACCAACGTTTCGTAGACAATTAAATCACTTCGTCTCAGAACTCAAGAATAACCTGATCCTAGTATCGAAACGTCCATGAAATAAAGATGACTCTCTGTCGATGTAAAACTGACACTAACACGCAGTTCAAATCCTAAAACTATCAAAGGTGAAGTTATATTTACCTTTAGACAAAATAAAAAATATGCAAGAAAAAAATACATATAATTTTATTAGAAAAAAATTCTATCTGGCGTCTATCAATACAATATTCTTTTGTTTAATTTTAATTGATATCAAGTTAATCACACAATTAAATGCACAACGTCGCGGTAATCCAAAACGTTCTGATTCGGCTTTTAGAGCATGTAGTGTTTTTTTTTTTTTTTTTTTTTTTTTTTTTTTTTTTCTTTCCAGGCAGAATCCGACGTGTATGATGAAAGGGGCTTATTAGTATGCTGGATAAGCGACGGCTGCATGCCTCCGGTACGTCGCCATGCACCCTCATCTTCGTGGTCGTTTTGGCACTAACTGGATGCTTCTCGTTCTGGATTCACATCGATGGGTCAGGATCGCCGACCCCTTATTTCAGCGGCAGTGTGGCCGCGCCCGGATATATCCTTATATTTCCCGGGAACGTCACGCCCTCCGCACAGTCTTACTCGATAAACGAACTTCCGTCCGATGATAAATCCACGCTGATCAACATCACGGACTTTAGGTTTACCATGAACCACAATCCCTGCAACCGTACGCAACCGTTGCTACTGATGCTGGTTCATTCGGCGCCGGGGAATTTCCCCAAGAGGCACGTCGTGCGGGAGACCTGGGGTCAACAAGCGCCGGACGTGACTTTATTGTTTCTCGTCGGATACTCCGAGGAGTATCAGTCCAGGCTCGAGGAAGAGAATAAGAAATATCAAGACTTAATACAGGGAAACTTTCTTGATGCCTACAGAAACATGACCTACAAGCACGTTATGGGATTAAAGTGGGCTACTTATTACTGTCCAAGTACGAACACTTTTCTCTTTACAGTTTAATTTAACTTACGTATTAGAGTTTTAGAATTAATTTATGTATTAATGATCTGTCTGACAGACAAGCTTCTTATTTATTAAAGTCAAATGTAATTTGTGATTTCATACGTATTAAAGTTTATGAATATGTAATCTGTGAATTTATAAATAAATAGTATGATATTGTCTTGTTGCAGGTGCCAAATATATACTTAAATTAGACGACGACGTTTTTGTTCATTTACCGGCCATGCTGGACTTTCTCACGCATGGTCTCTCACCGTGGGGTGCAAGACGTCTAATTCTCTGTGATCTTATTTCGGCTTCCGCAGTAAAGAGATCCTGGCGTTCCAAGTGGCGGGTCTCTCCTCAGGAGTATCCCGGTAGACTTTATCCTGCGTATTGTGCCGGTTGGGCGATCCTCTACTCCCCCGATAGTGTATTTATATTGTACCGCGAGGCCCAGAAGGAGCCTTACTTCTGGATCGACGACGTGCACATTACCGGGACACTGGCTAGGAAAGTAAATTTAACGCAAACTTCACTACATTCTTGGGTGCTCACAACCCAGAATATGCGGGACCTGCTGTCGAACCCGAATACTCGACGAGATTTTCTCTTTGGGCCTCCGGATCTGCCGGAGAGCGGAATACGAGCCTTACATAGTCTGGTTTCTAAACCACGGCCTAGCAGCGAAAGCCTATTGAATTAAACGTCTAATAGAAAAATCTCGTTTATATTCAGTCGCCGTAATGCGAGCAAGAGAGAAAGAATACGAGCGAGAGATACGAGAAGTAAGAGTGTTCTCATACTTACCGCGTATCCTAATACTTTTACGTCGCACGCCGTGAGAAAAGATCTCTCTGAAGAGAAATAATTCTCTGAGTAATGATATTTATAATTACAACGTCGAGATGTTTAAAACTCGAATCGAGAACAAAGTGAAGCATTCGCTCGAGATTTAGCGCTGACAATTCCAGAAAGAAATATTAAAAAATTGACTAAGAATATGGCAGCAGACTGACATCAAATTGTTCTCGAATTTCTATTTAATTTTTATAGTAATAGTTTCTCATGGACAGCTTTTATGTTAATTTGTTATTACGTATGCTATTGATGCCTGTTGTTGAACGCGCGATGTTTGCTTAATTAAGAATTTTTACTTGAAAAATTAAAATCTGTAAAATTAATCTTTTTTTTTTTTATTAAGATTTATTTGTATTGTTTATTGTATTTAAGAAAAACATGATTTTTGTCCATCCTTTCTCTTCAGATCGGTCATTTGTCACATCAAAATGTTTGTACAATATTATAGTTCAACTGTGAGTGTTCGATTATTTACACAATGTATAAACGGTATGTTTTGTATACAATATACGTAATAGTGCGTTATATACATGTGCATATGTGTATATAGATAATATATACACATACAGATACAGATGCAGCAAACACATATGCATGTGTAACAAAATATTACGAATCTGGAAATGTCATATTTAAGTGTTATTTATATTTACACGACTAAGAGCATAATATAATTCATTTAGAGCATAATATAATTTCAACTGAATAGATTTATTTATCAAGTTGAAGGACTCATTTTGTTCTCAATTGATAGTCTGTAATCAGGGCTCGTAATCGAGCATTGTACTGCAATTGCTAATTTTGAGATTGTTAATATTTAGATTTGTTTTAGAGTTTCTTGATTTAATGTTTTAAATTTGTTTGTAAACGTCATATTTAATATCAAATGTTTTTTTTTGCTTTTTTGTTTTTTAGTTTTTAACGTCGTATTAAAATCTTTCATTATAGCACGGAACAGAGCTGAAATTTAGATGTTGTTTTTCTTCTCGAAGCTGATTTATATTTATGAGGCTTCACCTGATTTATATTTATGAGGTTTATTAAAAGCAGTTTAAATATAATAAAAGATTGTGTGTTCTTAAAATGGCGCTGTCACGAGATCTTCACTCAGCTTCAACAATATCAAAATCTCAGCTGTAATAATATAATACTTGTATAAATTTTTATCAGTATTACTAATTACAATTAAAAAGAAAATATTTTATTATTAATATTAGTTAAAGATATGTAATCAGTGACCTTATTTAATTATTAAAATTGATATTTAATTATTGATGTTAAAAATTTCAGCGACATTCTTGACAACATTTATATAAAAAACTACATATTCGCTATATTTGTTATGTTTAATTATTTCATAAAATATGTCTGATAATTTGTGTGATATATAGAGTATAGTATTCATTGTCTATTTGATTTTGCTATATATACGCACATGCACACATGTACGCACATTTTTACAACTATATGTCTTAAGCAAAATATTAAAAAAAATATTTTGATATCAATCACTATACAAAGTTTCATTAAATCAATTATAAACATACATCACTTCACAGCACACGCACAAATATAAAGAACAAATTTTTTGTGTATAGATATTGCACATTTGACACATCACATATAAGAAAAGTCTTAATTAATTAAAAACTTTATGAGCCCTGGTTATATTAAATAAATTGAGATAAAAAGTTGTAGAATTATAAAATTCTATAAAATTTCCGGAATATTGATTAGTTAAATAAAAAGAACATCAGCTATTTTTTTATTTATACTTACAAAAATGCCAAGAAATATGAAAGAATAGTAGTAAAATATTTAAAAGCGGCGAAGAGGGTTCTACGAACTTACGTATCTCATGACGGAAAATAGTCTCCTCTCGCGGTGATAGAAATTTATGGGAAAACGAGCGTGTAACTTTATTGTAAATTTATTACTCGGCGACAGGCAATGGAAACTTGCTGTGAAGCCACACAACTTGTGAATGTACTTAAATGTAATGTAATAACGAATATAAAATTGAAAATATTACGTTGTTACACACAAGAATATTAACGAGTCGAATTAACATTGTTACGTAGCAACAAGTACAACCCCAAAACAAGGGTCCACTCGCAAATTAGATAAAAAGATCTCGCAGATATTTATCCGTTTTTGAATGTCTATAACTTTTTTATCCGTTGTGATGATCGTCACGATTATTCGGTACTATAAAAAAAAAAAAAAGTACGTGCCTGCAAATCGTATCGTGTCAAGCATGTAAAATTCAAGCTAGCTTTTAGTTAACGTGATTTTATTAGAGTCAATGGTTGATGTGACATTACTTTGCATTGTGTATGTACTGTCTTTTTTCATCTGAAATACAACGAATATCTACAGACTAAAACGCGCAGAATTACACTCTTCAAGCACTGTTCAGAATAGAATTTTTTCTGTTATATATANTATATATATATATATATATATATATATATATATATATATACATGTATACAAATATAACAGAAAAATGAGAACACTTCTCTCGGACTTTATCGCCAACAAACATTTGCAACTTCCGGAACCGGACGACATTCACAGTAGCAATAGCATAAATAAAGATGGTGGTTACTCAATCGACGTGAATATCTTCAGACTTTTGTTTTTTGTTTTACTTTTATTTTAATATTGTGATGTTTTTCTTGCAATATATATATATATGTATATATATATATATATATATGATTCTTGTGATGGAACAAAAACTTATAATTTCAATAAACAATGATTATTTAAACTTTAATGTTTTTTTATTCTCCCATTTGTGTGTGCCGATCCTGTACATTAAATGATAATTAATGAAAGCAGTCTTTGTACAATTAAAAGTTATTTGGGTAAAACTTCTTTGCGAGAAAAGATAGTAACAAATACATGTGCAAGCAAAACTGCTAAATTGTGTTACGAAAAATGAAGAGACAGTATTTTCAGCATAAAGATCTTCTTGCTATGAAATATTAATAATATGAGTGAGTCATATCCTTCGTGTGCTAATGAATAAATTAATACTCGCCATAATATAATATGTGACAAGAGAGAAGTAAAATACATTTGAGGGGAATTAAAATCCACAAGTGCGGCAAAACAAAGGAACGGACAATGAGTAAAACGCAATAATATACAATTGGATACATACTTTATTGGTCCGGCTGTTTTTTTTAACTACGTGTAGAACTATTTATAAAACTTTACAAAATGCTCAACGTGTTGCAACTTTTTTAAAGGGAACCTTGCTTAGGTATATTTACAAGGCAACAGAGTTACATATAATTTTTGAGAATCGAGTGACGATAAGCTTACATAAACGGTGATTATCGCAAGTTCCTTTATCCCTCGATTTCATGCTATTTCGAAGATTAAGATAATTTATCGCGTCGTAACACACAACGCGCGTTAGTGCACATTATTTCCAAGCTCTTTCGAAAAATGTTAATCTAATTTAAGAAAGACTCTTTTCCACACATATACACACAATAAATACATGTAGGGGAGCGGGAGGTAATGAGAGCCATGGGGTAATGGGAGCTATGGGATAATGGGAGCGGTGCTCGTTTGCAGATATCTAACACTCGGTCCTTTGAAAACCAGCCAAATGCGTTCGTTTACATTCGTGTCGAGCGGCCATGACGCCAGTGCCGCTAATGAAGTTGTTGAGAGACGGTATTGTGTTTTGTGGTGTGCGCTTATAAAATTTTCAATTATTTTCAACCGCAAGATGAGTACAAAAAATTTTACTGATTATTATTTTATTACTTCTAATGCGTAGCCTAATATTTCTATTTTGAGATGTTATTGTTGAAATCATGAAAAACTTGGATATTTTTTTGTTTTTAGAATGTTTTAGCGGGGCATGTCGGGTAATGAGAACCTAAACAGCTCTTATTACCTCTCAATAGCTCTCCTCACTCATTAGGGAGAAAGAGATCTCATATGTGAATCATATCTCTGCGCCTTTTGTTTGAATTCCTAAGATCTCATTTTTGTTTTGATGTTTATTATGCGAGCTTGTAATATTGTTTCCTAGATGTTTGTTTCTTTTTGTATTATGTCTAAGACATGATTGTTTTGATGTTTAATATTTAAGATACTGTTTTTCAGACGTTCCTTTCTTTATTTTGTGTCTAAGATATGTTTGTATTTCGATTTTGAAGACTGATTAACTATTATGGCTCCCATTACACGTATGGCAAATAAATGCCTTCCATTATCCGCCTATTAACAGAGCGATTGACATCTTTTAGATAATCTCATTTTTTTTTTAACTAAAAATAAATTAAGTGATTAAAACTATGTTACTCTAATAGCTAATTAACCAAAGCATTGGTTTAAGATAATATAGAGTTATTTTTTCAAAAAAAATAGTTTTATTTTCAATTTCCCTTAGTATGTGCCAATTCCCCCTCCCCTCCCCGCTCCCCTATATGTGTAATTATTTGTAAATAATTCGAATATATATAACGTTTAAAAGAAGTAAAAATGCCATTTAACATTGTGAGGCACGTCAACCCTTTCTTCGCTTTACTTCTTTTGTTTTTTTTTGTTTTGAAAGCATATACGATTACTTTTCAAGAGTTAATTAAACTTAATTGGTGTGGTTCACGCAATTTTTTCACGTATCGCGTTATACTCAAAAGTATGTTTGCATTTAAGAATATTGTATAATTTTTTTCGTAAAAATTGTAAGTGGTAAAAAATATATGTTATTCTTAAGATTGTTTTGAATTCTAAACGTAAAACATAAAAAAAATAAAATAAAACATATACATATAAATATATAAAAAATGTAATAAATAGTAAACTTATGCCATTTGTATTTATATATATATATATGTTTTCAACGAACGCGCGCGCGAAGATTTTATTCAATCTTCGTATAAGTTCGATAAGTTTTTGTAACATTGCGATGTTTTTTTTTTATTACATAAATTTAACATTAATTGAAAATCGAGATTACGATTACGTTCTATAAAAATTGGCAGTACAAACAATTCATCACATCAAAAGGTAATATGTATATATATGTGTATATATATATATATATATATATCTTAAAAAAGATTTCATAACGAACATTAAGATTGGTGACGTTAACAGTGATCTTTATACATATAGTATCGTTTCAAAAAGCTGGATATCTTTTAACGTGACTAAGAGCGACTCCGTTACAATCTAAACTTTTTTACGGTGTGACGTGACAACTTCGTCGTCGACATATACACGTCGACAATTTATGTGTAATAAAATCAGGATTGTTACATGAGACGCAGGGGCGCATGTCCCGAACTTAAGTCGTAGGACAACCTGGACCACACACATTTGTATATATATTGAAACTCATATCGTAAGATCTTGGTTCGTAATACTGCAGTTTTCAAAAGTTTTATGTTTTAATACTTAAAACATAAGTAAAATGTTTTTTATTATACTTTTATATATTGTAAATAAAAATGTTTTCAATATAATCTTGCAATATAATTTATATAGAATCACAAAATGGAGCGAAGTTGAGAAATGACCCACACAACACGAGTGACTGATTGTCGAACTTATAGTCGACCTTTTTCGGTCAACTTATAGTCGACTTTTAAAAGTTGACTTTAAGTTGACTTTTAGCAGACGACTTAAAGTTGACTTTCAAAAGTCGATTATAAATTAACTATAGTCGACTATTTGCCAACAATTAGACGGTTTTGAAAGATGAATTAAACATAATTATTGTCGACTTAAACATAATTTTATTTAATCAGCAAGGTGATGTTTGGGTATTTTTAGATATATAAATATACATAGATTTTTAAATTATTATTGCATATTTATATTATTTAAATTTAAATATTTCAATTTAAAAAAACACAGTTTCGTATATTGTATTGTATATTAATATACAATTGTATATTAATATAATATTGTATATTAATGTAATATTTAACTGTTTGGCCCCGTGTTATCGTGCGCCCCTGCTGTGTAAAAGCTTCAACATTTCAAGAGATATATTGCAATTATACTTCCATACACGTGAAAAATCTAATAGAGAATTTATAGAGAATAAAAATATATAATATTTAAAAAATCAGTATCGGTTAAAAAATACGTCTCGATTGATTGACTGATATTTTTTGTAAACAAGACGTTTCACGAATCGAAGGTTGTTCCACTTTTCAGAAATTTAATTAACCCTTTCGCTGCGAACGCTCTGAATGCTGTGTGAACATATATACGTCGTCACAAATCGATGGTCTTTGCGAGATTCGTGCGCATTTGACCACGCGGAATCGACGTACACATGTACATAAATGTAGGACCAAATTAATATCATCGAGAGAGAGAAAGAGAGGCCAATTCCCCATCCTCAAAATACTAAAAACAAATAATAACTCTATCAAATTAAAGCGCGCCGCAGCAACAGAGTTAATACGGTGTGATGTGTATACATAATAACATGTCGCCGTATAAAATTCACTCTATAGGATAAAATCCTTAATAATTAATTGCTCTAACTATATTCTCGACAGTGAATATCAATTTCAACTGTCGTATTTCAACTTGTCTCCTTTCTGGTATACGATATAGATATTTCCGACCGTCGCGCGTGTCGAAAAATGTGATATAATTTTACTACGAGATATAATTCGTCTATATGTTAGTTTTTTTTATATTACTACTTTCTTGTAGTTTTTTATAAATATACTTCGCAATATATATATGTATCTTTCTACATTTGATTGAATAATCATTTTCGCAAGTAAAAGGAAACAATATGATGATTTACACATCATGTGCGTAACGATTAATTTTAACATTTATAATAGGTACATTACATACGCGTCTCATACGGGAAAGGAATAATTGAGTTATACATCGCTACACCGCTGCTCATTTCATTAGATACCTAGAGAGAGCACTTACTATTCAGGTACTAATTACGTTATAGTGAAGTGATTCGAGAATGCAATTGGCCTTACACGGTAGGAATAGAGCCGATATTCTTCGTAACAATACAACTAACGATATAAATGACAATGCTAACTCTGTATATTTCCGACATACAAATTGCAGAGAAAATGAGAGAGGAAGAAGCGTGCTTTTTTTAAAATGTATATTTTAATTCCAAATTGTAAACAAAAAAACAACAACAATGCGTGACGATAATGAAAAAGACTACAAAAATTGTAAAGAATTCTCATACTAAAAAAAAAAAAAAATGAAAAATATTGTAATCTCGTGGAATGAAATTTGCAACATAATAAAATTCCGTCGACATCTCTCAGTTTGTCTACAATTTGGCAGGGACTTTAACGCGCTGTTTCTACTGGTCTACTTTATGTTTTTGATCGAGATCCGAAATTATGTTATAAAACAATCGTATTATATTCATTATATATTATTTTTATAATATATAATGTGTATAATAATTTACAATTATATACGCGTAATTCTATATTATTATTATTATATATATATAATAATATTATATATATATATATAATTATTATATCTTTTATATGTATTTAACGAGATTCTTTCCTGCAGCATTTCCGGAGACCAGCTCCATGTGTGCTATTTCTACATATTTCTATCTATAAAGAACTGTAATAACAACAGATGCAGTTTCTTGATCATTTTATATGTGTGTGTGTGTGTGTGTGTGTGCTTATATATATATATATATATCTTACATTATATTATAAACTTTTTTTGGTATATATATATTTTTTTTTCATATATAATTGTGTGTTTTATTCTCACAAAAAACAGAATATTTACCTAAGTTTGATCATCTATTTCTGAAATACTTTGTGCGTACGCGCGCGTATATATGTAATATTGTGACATATTTTGAATAACATTAAGCATTCTTTTTTGAATATTGGCTCGCTCTCTGTCGATAATTAATTTTTTATTAGTCGAACGGACTTCACCCCGACCGAAATTCAAAACGGAATTCGAACCTTCAAAATGTGAATTTCGTACCGAGTACACGAAACACTACTCATAATATTCGTATTGTATGTGTATATGGAAAATATTAGATACATCTTTATTTTACATATACGATATATATATACGTGTCATATTTTTGATATATGTATTATATATGTGCGTTATATACTTTTATACGAGACTGTCGACTATTTTTCTCGCAAGTCCCTGCATCTGTCGCCTGCAGCTTTTCCACATTTTCAACGAATTAGTGAGACGAAGAACAATTAAAGTTAAGTCTTAAGTACATTCGGAAGCTACATGCGAGACTTTTACTTTTGCCGTTTTTTTTTTTTTTCAAATACGACAGACAGTTTTTTTTCCGCGTGGCAGTAATAGTCTTCCCGAACTAACACACGAACAAGTACTTTTCTAACGCGCGTACAATACATTGAATTTAATGTATTCGATATTATTGGACTAAAATACAATATATATATATATTTATAAACCTGATTTATACGTGCTATTAGTCGATCTCACTTAGCAAACTAGTAGGAAAAGACCGTCGGACTTCTATAAGGAGCTTTATCTGCTATTCTCTCATGATTTGCACATGAGTATTCGTAATGTTAGAGCGAGTACTTCTTTTTTTTTTATGTCTACTATTTTACTTTCTGCTTATTCTTGAAACTGTGCGCGCCGGCTTTTACGCTAATAGTGTTGCACACTCAACCTTTCTCAGGAACAACTCTAAATTTTCCGACAAAATTATATGACAGGTATAAAAAAACAAAAAAGTAAATTTGAAAAAAAATAGCATAGATTGAACAATATCTAACATGATGGCACAACGCGTAAAAATAAATTTAATACATGTATAAATTAAAGAAAATTTTGAATATTTGCTTTCATATTTAACATTTGAAGTGCAAATAATAAAGAAAGAGAGAGAGAGAGAGAAAAAGATGTCTTCAAATAATTCTCCATAAAATGTAATAAGCATTTCTTCTCTGCCGCGTCGCTACCTACGTAAGCATAACAAACACAAAGAGTTCTTGGGACAGAATAAATATTGTCGGAGATGCCGCCTAACTGCTCAAAGTTAAAACAAGGGTCAAACTTCGCCTCGAGGTTCCATTAGCCTAATTTTAGGAAGTTGCGCGCGGCATTAACTAAGGCCGTCACCACCCCGGGTTCGTTCTACACGCTGGTGGTGATCTGCTCGATGACAGTAATGTCACGATGACGTCGCGGCCGCATTCGATAGGGGTCGTGATGATGGCCGAGGCCCTCCGGGACGCTCTTGCTGGGTCGAAGCGGCACGTGAAATTGCGGATGACAATAGTGGTCCGTTTCTGGCTGGCGTTCGACAAAGTCGCGGTCACGCAGATTGTCCTCGACGTCGAGAGGCACGTGTAACGACTGCGACTTCGGCAGCCGCGGCCTCGGCGGTGGCGGACACACGCATGGCGGCGGCGGCGGCATCACGCCGTAACTGGAGATACGAGGACCCGGCAAAATCGGCGAAGCCGGTTGTCGCCCCCAACCGACCAGAAAAAGCAACGCCGCGCCGCACAAGGAACTCAACGTGCACGCGTAATAACCCACTCGCGGGTTGCTCTCGTTCATGTAACCTGAGAAAATGAAAATACGAAGTGATTACCAGCGACGTTTGCTTTATTTCGCGGTTGAATAATGTGTACATGATAATTGAGGAGATATACTAAAAAAGGATAGTATATGTAAAAGTAACAATATTGCATTATAAATATATATATATATATTAATATAAACATTCAACAATGCTTTTCACTTACATAATAATTTATAATATTTACAATTTATATATATATACATATATATATTTATTGCAGTTAATAATATAAACATATATTGAAAAATTTTGAAAGTTTATTTGAGAAAATTTATTTTTGTAATTTGCCATTTGCATATAATATTTGCTCTGCTTTCGTGCACATATATGTACGTAAGACACGTGCTCTTCAAAGCTCTCTTCAAAGGATAATGTACTATAATTATAAAAGCGATGCATATGAAAATGGATAAAATGTTCGTAACGAAATTAAGCTCTCTTCAGACTGACCAAACCTTATAATCCCGCTATTATAATGCGCTTCTTCTTACGCGTGACATTTGTCACACGCTTCTTTGAATATTCTCTCAGCGAGAATGCACAGACCAAGCTTGTGTATTTTACACAAGCACCGTGCATTATTATTGAGGACAGACGGCATTAAATTCATACGTAGGAAATGTAAGACTATTAGGAAGGATTTTAAGCGAGAGAGCGGATTTCGCTCACTTTGCTCCTCCAAAAGCTCTAATACAGTTCTTCGAATCCACAAAAAAACGTTACGTTTGAATGTTTAAAACGTTATGAATATTTCAAATGAATATTTCAAATGTGAGTTAACACATACATACGTACGCATTATAAACTATTTTTGTCCCTTCTCTCTTTTATAAACACACAAGCAGATATAAAAATATATATTATAAATAAATAAATATATATTATATAGGTACCGAATATTTTTTCTCAACAATAACTTCTCCTTGAATATTTGTTTTCTGTTTTTTTTTTACTCAAATGTATATTTACGCGCAGTCAAAGTTTACAGCGAAGAAAAGCCGAAGTTCGTGATATATATATACATATATATATATATATATATATTTCTATCGTCATGATTTCTAAGGGAAAACTCTTGGAGCTCTTTCTTGGGAACAAGTGTGCGTAAAATTCCGTACTTCGTGCTTTACCTGTAAGGGGAACTCCAAGAAGAATGGGCAGAGCTTCCGCGGCTTGTACCAGGGCCCACGATCTGGCGAAGTGTCTCGCTCGCAGTCTTTCCAGAGCCAACATCTTAAGGGAGTAAAGAGCACCGCCGAGCGAGGCGCCGTAAAGCCCGGAGGCCAAAACGAGACCGTGATAACCTTGTACGCTACCAAGCGCCACTTGAGCCACAGCTTTAAGCAGAGGGAAAAGCTAATTCGAATTGGTAATCCTGGCAATGCGTGATCTCTAGATCTACAAGTCTCGCTTGTTCGCCCGCAAAATTTATGCACTATAATTTTCTAACTTCGCCTCCTTCTGTGCTACTTCTCCCCGCCGAGACGTTTCCGGATATTCCGCGCGGATAGTAAACCAACAAATTTCAATTTTAAACCAATCGCGTTCTCCAAAACGATGTGTTTTTATTTCAGTTGTTTGCATTTTGAAAAAGAGACAGTTTGTTGCATAACTTGTGTGTGTGTGTGTGATTTTGTATCAAAATAATAAAAAAAAAAAATCTCATAAATCAGTATGCGACGTGAAACGTTAACTATTAAACGCCAAACAAAAATTGCTTTACGTGTTTTTGAAAAACTACTAAAAAGATCACCAGCGATCGGCAGTAATTGAATGAATGAGCGTGTGTTTGATTCCCATTCGATTTGAATCACACCGCTCGTAGTTTAACTTAATAGCGCGCTACGGTTGACGGATTTGTGCGCGCGGAAATGGACGTCAACAAAAATGTTGGCGTCCGCGACATGATACTGACCAACCCCAATAAGCGCCGCTTGGCAAAGATATTGCCTGGACACTAGGCACTGAGCGGATGGTCTGGCAGTAACTATCCCCCAAGCCGCGCATCCGAGCGCGGCTGCCAATCCTAAACAGGTCTGCAGCAACACGAGCGCGCTGGCCTCGAGCCCCTCCTGGTAGCCTTGCAGAGCCTGAAAGTGATGTTTCTCATTAAGCGATTGCACCGGGAAAGTCGCGCGCGCTGCTACACAGATAACATCCCGATAACGCGGACAATGAGCTGACGGTAATGACGCTCGTCGTAATATCGACGATCGAAATTGGCTCGTTCGTATCCTGAGATTAGTTTTCGCAAAGCGCGAAATCAGGAAAAGCATAACTCGGTTTTGACTCGGAGCACAACGTGCTCCTATTACAGCATTTAATGTCGTTATCTTTGATTCTATTATTGTCCCGAGTGTTGACCGACCGACCGTATTCTTTTCAAAATGGATTGCGCGATGTTGAGAAACTTAAGTCGTCTTGTTGTCAAATCGCACGGGAATGCGGGGGTGCGGTTTTAATTCTTTCAACTGAATACCGCGTGGAATTAAAGAGGAGAGACAGAAAAGACGGAGCCAAGAATCTCGGCGATGTGTTTTTTTTTTTTCAAAAGAGAAAGAAAAATAACCAACAATATGTAACGTCGTAGCGTCAAACAAAATGCAATCTCTCTCTCTCTTTAATTTGTACTACGTCAGATTTCTGACCAAAAAAAAAAACGAGTATATTTCCCAAAAACAAAGAGAAAAAAATCCATTGTCGAAAAAAATATATCCCCTAGCTTCTCAATCACTTAAGTGTACTTACGATATAGAAGGCAGGGGTGTAAAGACCAAAGCCGGCCGCGCCGGCGGCCAGCATGAGCATCCTCACAGGACGCGATCCCAGAGGGCTCAGGTCGACCAACGGCTGTTTCGGTACTTTGTTCGTGGATTTCTTTTCTTTGACTTTGCTGCGCTGATTCTTCAAATGCAATATGGCGCGTCGCTGCGGATGGTAGAGCGAGGCACTCCGGTAAATCAGCCCCAGGAAGAAGGCCAACGAGAGTGCTCCCGTGACCGATTGAAGTCCCAGCCGCCAGCCCAGTTTCCTGCGGGAAACCAGCGAGATACACGACGCGTTATGATCATCGCGCGAGGGAATTGTCGAGTCAGCTGACGCGAATCTTATACGTGCCTTAAGCCCAAGTCCAAAGACCTTTTTTTTTGCATTACATTTTCGTCATCGCGCCGTTACGTTTTACGTTGTGAATATAAAGCTATTCGAGAGAAAATTTCTCTCGCTTTGTGCAAAAAACTCTTTCGCTCGTTCGCAAAGTTTATAATCGAATTATATTAAAGAACCAATATATATATCTGAATATATATCAAATTTAAATGAAAGCTTTTATTTTTTGTCTTGTACTTTTCGTGTAATATTGTTATACAAGTATGTATAACATTCTTTAAGTTAATATAACACAAAAAATGTGATGCCACGTGAAATCTTGTACATCGTTGTACGTTGTTGTAAAATACAAAATTAAAATTAAAAATTAATTGTAAATATTGTGCGCGAGTGTATCTTAAATATATTTATAAAAATATTTTACGAATCTAAAAATATTTGAAATAAAAAAAAACAGTATCAGGTTGCTCTTAAAAACTCTCATGAAGTGAGCTGAAATGTTCGCGAAACGATATAAAAAAATGACACTAACGCGGTTCAAACGCGAAAAACATCTTCGAATGTTAATTAAAAAAAAAAAAAAAAAAAACAATTATTTATTAATAATACCTTGTTATGAGTGAATGTAAATATTCACTACCAGTATATAGTTATGTATAGTTTAACATGGAAATAAAAAATTGTAAAAATGTTATACATATTTTTGTTTGCTGAGACATTTCCGTGTTTTTCTTAATGATAATAAACTGCTAATAACACAATCGCACACAGCTGTCAATGTAAAAATAACGCGTATGATAACGCGTCGTCTCTCTCTCTCTCTCTTTCTCTTTCTCTTTCTCTCTGTCTCTCTCGCACTTGCTGTCTGCTTTCCTTCTTCGAGCGCGGCCGTAACGCCATCCGATATCGGAGAAATGTGAAAAGAACATTTCCCCTTTTATCTGAGCCCGTCTAAAGTCGATGTTTTTTTTCTTACTGAATCGAAATTTTTCGTAATTTGGACTTGAAATATCATCGTTCAGAGGTCACGTAGTAAGAAAAAGATATTTTTGGTCTCATTTTTGTAATTCGATTGAAACTAAAGGAGAGTCCAGTCGGTTCAGTCGTTGAGAGACATGAAGATCTCAACTTTTGCTTAAGAAAACTAGAGGCATTAACGCGTCTCTTGAGTTTTCTTTTTTTTTTTATAGCGTAAAGTAATCATTATTTATTTCGGAGAGAGAAAAAGAAGTGAATTCGCGAATCTTCCTCGACGGCATGTAATATCGAACGAATATTCTGTAGATATATACCGAACATACTATAGACATATCGCAATATGCCGAAGAGAAAATCGTTATAATATCTTTGAAAGATTTCTGCTTACGCGTCATCTTCTGTTTTCTACGTCAACTTCCGCTTATATCGAGTTTGCACGCTTATGTCAAAAGCGATGATTCGTTCTCGTCAACTTCTTCCTCTTGTGCTACCCAAGTTATCATCGCAAGTTGAACTCGCAAGCTCTGATCAGACATACGCACAGAATGAACGTGGCATAACCCTTATTCACACGTCAAGTAGAACAGAAACGTACGTATACATGTGCACACACACACACATATATGCATCGTACATGTCAAGAGAGTTGAGGCTAGTGGAACTTTAGACAATGAGTGCATATACAAATATCACAACTAATAACATAACGCGCGCAAGAGTGGGACAATCTCTAATGACAAAACATCTCATCAAAGTCACATATTTTGTAAGAGTTTCTCATATTTTAAATGTCTCAAAGAATAATAAATTTATGATCAGACGTTTTCATGTTTTTTTCAGATAGCGCCAAATGACAAATTTCATAACGTTTCAGAGTGTACACATTATGAAAGACTTAAAAGAAAAATATCAGATGTTCTCATATTTTTTTTCTTTTCATGTTGATATATTAAAGTAAATATAAAATTTTATCTGAGAATTATTGAGAAAAGATGTAAATTTTCTCATACATTCTCCTATATTTACGTACTCCAATGTTATTTACATCAAAACTAAAACGAGAAACATTTCGAGAATTATTTCAGTTTATTTATTTTACTTTAGAGTAAAAGAGAAGTCTTGTAATGTTTTTTATTAACTATCACATACTTTTGACTACTTGCGACATGCTGCAATTCTAATTTTAGATATATATCATGTTACACATGTTTATTTTTCTTTTTAATAAATGTCTGTTAAAATATTTATGTGTTTGCTTTTTCTCTACTTAATGTGAACAAAAATGTTTTATAAAAATAAATGGTTTATGCATGTAATAGAGAATTATTAATAGAAACATATGTAAAACAATAAACAACTGAAAAAGTAAATCACTATTTCTAACGTAAATAAATGCATTTTATTATTTTTATTCCACTTTTTTATTCCGTAGAGTCTCAAATTTCAATTTTAATGATGAGAAAGTCAATCTATACCGTAACTTCACGCGAAACTTTTCACTTTTTTGTTCTTATCAGCTCCTTTATATAAAATTCCGCAGAATCCTGTGTGCAGAAACCAATAAGAGCAAACAGCGAACGGTGAAAAGTTTTACGTAAAATTATACGTAATTCTCTCATTTCTTGAAAACTATTCGGAAATGCTCAAAAGTGTTCAAATTGCGTCAATAATTTGAGCAATTTTGAAAAACGTTTCTATAAAAAAATTCTATTAAAAAAATGTAAAAACTATTATTAAAAAATCTGATAATTTGTACAAAACAATTCTGAGAAAATTTTTGTCAGGAAGGAGAGCGAGAAAATTTTGTTATAAGCGAATTACTCGGCGTTACGTCGAGTCTCCCGACGACGTTAGAAGAAATCTGTTATAAGTTAATTATAAAATTCATTGTATATATGTATATATTCTTACCACGCAATATATTCGCGAGATTCTATAAAGATACAAAAGGAATTATTCTCAATCTACATCCGAGGAATTATTCTTAATCTACATCTGTCGAACATTTAAACGGCGGACATTTAAACATTTTCCGTGTGTGCTCACAATATCGCAGAAAATATTGAGAAAAATGTGAGAATATACGCAATATACATATTTTGGCGATATATTTATCACAACATTGTCAAAGAATCAACTTATGAGATTGTTTGCATTTTGATATTTGCGACTTCGCCGCAAACTTACTTTTGCTGATTTTGCTTCAATAGGCAAAATATTTGGCGATTTAACGATATCTTTGTTTGCGCAATTGTAGAGAGCGTAAAGTAAAAACAGAAAGTACATAAACGTTCATTTTAGATTAACGCGATACGATCCATAATCTTGCCGCGAATACTATACACAATAGCGCTCGGTGGTTGCGCAGTATGTACATAATGTGTACATAAGAAAAAGTGGTACAATGTGTCCATAAAAAAAAAAAAAAAAAAAAAAGTATGATCGCGCACCTCTTCTACAGAAGTTTATTGCCGTTATGGCTGAAGTGTGAAAATGCTTGTTACGTTATTTTTTGACCGTGACGATAAATTTCTCCGAAGAATTGCAAATGCGCGAGCGAAAGAATTTGTTTCGAAAAAATTCTTTCGTGATTTTTTCAGAACGAAAAAAGAACCGGTAACATATGTACACGTGTGCATGGTTCTCAATTGTGCGAGCACGAGGCCGCGGCTTATTAACATTTGCGACTTATTAGCATTTATATTCGTCACAAAATGTACATATAATTTATCTACTACTTATCATGTTTTTTTCGACTTAAACGGATTTATTGACACGGGTTCATTAATCACACATGGACTCTAGGAGAACCCGCTGCAGTTGAAGACTCTATATATGACATGATCATCGCGACGTGTGCGTATTGACGATTCTTTAGCAGAGAGATCAAGCACAATGCGCTCCACGCCAGGAGACTTAGTCGCGCAGAAAGTCACCACTACGGAGACTGAGAAGCAGGAAAAAACTAAAGTGTTGTGGCCTCAATGGATCGCTGCCATCGGAGGTACATAAAATATATTTTGACAATAAAATCTTTTTTTTTTTATAAATTATTATTTTGTCTTGTTAATATATTGCAGATTTAATTAATATTAATATTACGTCGTTTGTTACAATACATATTGATTAAATGTCATTAATTTAATGTTGTGTTGGGTGAATATTTATGCAGTTTTTTAAAAAGTCATTTATTTTATAATTATTTCGTGATTGTCATTATCTTCAGATTGTATATTAACATATTGTTATTATTATTTGTATCATTAAATAATAATTTTGAGAAATACTCTCTTATTATTTATATAAAATATTCCTTTATTATTTTTTATATTTCGGTTTTGTGTATGTTATCTTCTTTTACTGTATCTTTTTATAGATAAAATACAACTTATATGTAAATGTTGAAATAAGACAAAAAGAAATTGGTTACTTTTTAAAACTTACATACATACAAGCGATCTATGAATTATGATTAAAAAAATGTTTTTTTTTTTTTTTTGTTTTAAACTTTCAGTCACTCTTCTGCTGGTGCAAATAGGACTATTGGCAGGTTGGAGCTCGCCGTACATAGCCTTCTTGACCTCGCCCAATTCGCACATCCCCATAACACTGAACGAGGCTTCGTGGATAGTTTCGTTGTTAAACGCAGGCAGACTAATCGGCGCCATTTTCGGTGCTCTCTGCGTCAATTACTTTGGAAGCAAAAGAACTATTTTCATCATCAGTTTACCATTGATTTTCGGCTGGTTGTTTATAATTTTGGCTGATCGGGTGGAGTGGTTGTACGTGTCCAGATTTCTAGGCGGGATCGCTTTGGGAAAGACTTATAGTTGCTTCTCCCTTTATCTGGGCGAGATCACCGATCCGTCCATTCGCGGAGCTACGGTTGTTTTAGGTATGCGTTTTTCCAATGTGTGCGCGCGCAAACGCTCTCGAACGAATAAAAGTGCGGTTTTTGATTTTTCGATTGCGTCAACAGTTTTTATTACTTTGAGATAAAGACTCCGTTAAATTGGCAACGATAACAAAATAACAAAGAGTTCGCGAATGACGAGTCGTAACGATAAATCCGTGTTACACTTAAAAAAAAAAAAAAAAAACACTCAAAATACTTCAAATGTGAACGATCTAACGGGGATTGAAATTCTGTTGCAGCTATGGCCGGATTGTCGATGGGCACCATGATAATATGCATCATGGGCGCGTATTTGAGCATGACCGTTTCTACTAGCATAAGCCTCGCTCACGCCTTCGTATTGATGGCCATCTTTATCTGGCTGCCAGAATCGCCGCATCATTTCGTCAAGATCAAAGCGGATGAGAAAGCGCGGGCATCAATTCGCTGGTATCATCGCGACTGCGACGTGGAATCGGAAATGCAATCCTTGAAGAAATTTATCGAGATGAACAGCAGTTCGAGCACGATGGACGTTATCAAAGAGTTCGGGGTTCCGCATGTCGGCAAAACTCTAGCGATCGTCACGGTGCTCTACATGTACGCCCAAATGTGCGGCATAAATAACGTCGAATTTTACATGGAAACGTTGTTGCGAAACGCTCACGTGACCGTCATCGATCCGTCGGTGGTCGTCATTATAGTCATGAGCATCGGAATTGTGAGCTCTCTGTTCTCCATAATGCTGATCGACAGATTCGGCAGGCGAATCCTAATGATGACCTCAAGCGTCGCCGTTGTGATCTCGATCTCGTGTCTGGGCACGGTTTTCCAGTTTATCGACGCGGGATACAATTCCGTCTATCTCCAGGCTCTGGCGATCTTCTCGATGATCTTTTTCCAGTTGGCCGTGTTCATCGGTCTTCTCTCGGTACCTATCACGGTACTGAGCGAGGTCTTTCCGCCGCACATCAAATGCATGGCCGGTTGTCTCACCAGCATAGCGGCCGGTCTCTTCGCGTTCACTTCCACGTCGAGCTATCAGCCTCTCGTCAATCTTATAACGGAGAAATACGTTTTCTACCTTTATTCTTTGCTTCTGATAACCGCCGTGCCGTTCGCGTTCTTCTGCATGCCCGAGACGAAAGGCAAGTCGCTGCAGCAGATTCAGGAAGAACTGAAGAAATGCTGATGAAAGATCAAAGTTTTTGTGCGCGGACAAATTGTCCAACGGAATTTGTGAGGAAACAATAACTAATAATTTTGTTTCATGAGAGAGAATTATGAGGTGTTTTTTCTCGCGAAACAGACGCGATTTTGTAATTAAAATGACATATTGAGCAACGCGTTTTTTTTTGTAATCCGATCATATAAACGTTACATGTGTACGTTTGCTTGCGTACATCTATCTAATCTATCTAATCGCGCAAATAAATTAAAAATTACCGCAATCTTGTCGGCGAAGTTGATTTTGATTATACCGCGAAATGTTTTTCTATATTTAGAAACGTAATCGTAACTGGCATTTCGTTGGTGTCACACCACTTCGTTGAAGAACAGAGAAACGCACACAGAGAAATTTATTTAATCCCCACCGCGTTGTGACGCGTTGCTTTCAAACACGTACAATGCAGTAAATCATTCGATAATTCGCAACCGCGAGTCGCGGAATTTCTGACAAAAGGTTTCGCGACGTATAGCTGTACCGTACCAGAATCGTAGATAACGTACACACACATATAACGTAATGACACTTTCTTGCAAACTCGTACAGCTCGTCTCCGAATAGACCGTTTTTTTTTTCTTTTTTTTTTTTTTGAGACATCATCACGCGCGGTTATTGCGCGCGAAATCTTGTGTCATTCTAAATTTGGGATTTTTTTTTCTCGCAACTGAATGAAAATCGTTGTTTCTCCTCTCGGCGTACAACTACAAATTTCGCCGATAAAACGTATTTTAGATGTAGAGTTTTATATATATATATATTTTTAAGCATAAAACTTGACTAATATTCCAATTCGTTGACAACGTTACGACCAGAGAGCAACGACTGTGTGAGAATCTAATATTATCTTATCTCGTAGAGGTCATTGGTAATGACGCTGTTTTTTACTATTAAAACAGACACAACACGTGTCTCTGAACTCTGTAATGAGAGAGATAGAAATAGTTATGTCGATAATAGCTGCGTCGATTGTTACGTCTGCTGAGAATGATGTGTGTGATGTTTAAACGACTGTGTTGTGTATTATAAAGCCGTTAACGCGTTCGCAATCGGCGATTTTTTACAGCGAGACATTTACCCTGAACACCGCAAGGTTCTTCTATTTAATTATATACATTATTTATTATACTGTAATATGTGTTTATTAAGTTAATAAAAATAGATTTTTAAAATGACGTGGAACTTACGTTGCCGGTCGCGAATGTGTCAAAAGATTATTGTATCATAAGACGTGTTAAATGTGTGTGTGTGTGTGTGTGTGAGAGTGTGAAAAGCGTGTATGTATATAAGATATTTGAATAATTGAATAAAATAACTGCAAGAAGCTCTGATGTCTGCGCGTCATGAATGGAAAGGGAAATGGGAGGTGGAAGTTGGACTTCGCTCTTTTCGTTTTTTTTTTTTTTTTTACTATTCTCCATATATAACGTTTATAAATATCTCTATCTTGACGATATAATCGACGACAATCATCCGCAAAACATCGTATAGTAATATTTACGAAGATAATAAAAAGCTTAGGCAAACGCTTAAGTTTAACGATCTCCGTAGATGTTTAAAGCTTGAATATTGCTCGTTATTATTCGCGTAACTTCTATAACTTGCAATAAAAGTTGGGTAATAAAATGGCTTTTGCCTGACAATGATGCAGCTGAGCGATTTATGATACGCGATGTTTTCCTCCCCCTCTCTCTCTCTCTAACTCTATTTCACGTTGTATAAGTGGTTACGAAAGTCGTTCGCACACGTGTAGTAAAAGTTCAACATTATTGCATTAAAATTTCACCGAGGAGCAGCACTTTCACCACTTGTTTTTGCCGCGTCGTTCTGCGGAAAATTTTTCATAGTAAAATGTATTAAAACTTTTTTTGCGTTTCTTTTTTTTTTTTTTTTTTTTTTTTTTTAATATTCCGCTGATAATTCACTATCTTTCGTTATTTTTCACCTAACGCCTTTTAATCCTGTAGAAACTTAACAGTGAAATTATTAAACCTATCAAGTTTTAATATTCTGTGCCAGACGTTAGCGATATTTAATATTCCCGCGCCACGTAATCTCTGATAAAATTTTCATTTCATTCTTTTAATAATAATAAAATGTAGCGAAAGTGCCACATTGTTGACGATAGAAATAACTGTTTTAAAAAATTATGATAATAAAAAGTATACGAGAGAGAAAGAGAGAGAGAGAAAAAGAAGTCATAATAGTACATAAAAGAACCAGATATTCTCAAAAGCGAGCAAATTCTGTTTTAAAAATTCGAGAACTGAAAAAAAAAAACAACTATATTGTAATTTAAAAACTTACATTGTAATTTAAAAAAAACTGAACACGCTGTGTAACACGGTTACTTTTTCATTTTCTCAAATTGCATTTAATAATTTGTGTTCTTAATAAAACAAGCAAAGCAGAAAATTTTGTTTACCGCAAAAATTGATCTTAAAAAAAGTTGTACTCCACACAAGAGAGAAAAATAAAAATACATCCAGCATTTAGCCCCAAGCATTTTAAACCGGTTTTCAAAAACATAATTAAATTTCCAATCCGAATAATAATCACAGAAGTTTTCGTTCTCTCTTGCGCGTGCGTGCGTTCTAATTATTAAAAAGTAGAAGACTCGAATGTTCTTTCACACGTTCCTTATCGCAATATTTCCTGACTTTTCTCTTAGAAAAATGCAGTCCTCCCCACACGCCGTAAAGTTCTTTATGTTCTCTCATTCGCGCGGGAAGAGAATATTTGCAAATACACGCGACGTAAGAAGATTAAAATAAAAAAAAAAAAAAATAAGCTCGAGTTTCTTGAAGCCTCGTACTCAACGCCCCGTTTGCAAAAGTTGCGTTTTAATTCCTTTCGCATGAAGATAATGAGACTTCATGATTATTCATGTTACATATCTGGTACGGTTTTATTACGAATACGAGCCGTTATCTCTCCCGGGTCTGAATTTATTCTCCCGCCGTTTGTTTTCGTACGTCTTTTCTCTTTTGTTTTTGCTCTATCGAACGCAACGCCCTGTATTAAATGTTTATCATGCATTTCTCCGGGTCACATATAACGGTCGGGTTACACGCACGTGTAACAATCCGCTGCAACGTCGAGCGCTGCTTGACACGTTCGATACGATATAACGAGAGAGCGAGAGAGAGCGAGAGAGAGCGAGAGAGAGAGAGAGAGAGAGAGAGAGAGAGAGAGAGAGAGANGAGAGAGAGAGAGAGAGAGAGAGAGAGAGAGAGAGAGAGAGAAAGGGAGAGAGAGAGAGAGAAAGAGAGAGGAAGAGACAGAAAATTATCCAGCAAAAAGCTGCTGCGCGGCACGTTCACAATTGGAGCGCATTTGACGCCCACCGGTTTGTCGTTACCGCGGAATTACATGTACGCCCACGATCTTTTTTTGCGTGCATCGCGCATTTTGCTGCGGACTCGGTGTATCGCGCGCGCGCTCTCGTCCTACGCGTACCGGTAAAGTTCACCTGTGTGTTGTTGTACACGGGCTTTCACACAACGCAATATCGCGAAAAGAGCATGCAGTTTAACATTTCCGATATGCACAGAGTGAAACACAATTCTGTATATAGTATATGTACAGAATATGGTATAATCGACGATGTCAAAAAAGAAGACACATCGTTGTGCGTGGGACTCCAAGAGAACAAAAAAATAAATTTCTCATTTATTTCCCTTAGATGAAACAAATTGCGCGTTGTATGCCACAAAAATGTTTTTGTTTTTCCTCTATTTTGTGGTTCTTTCTTTTGACCGTTTTTTTTTTTTTTTTTTTTAACGTTTGAATTTGATGATATTTTCCGAATTTTGTTTTTCTATACAGTTTTCACAAAAAATAAATAAAAAATTGTATCGTATACTTTTTTTTACTTCTATATTTTTTCTTACACTTTAAGTGTAAGCCTTCAAACTTATACAAAGCAATTGGAATTAACATAAAAAGGATTTTTTGTTAATTTATTATGTACACATGTTTACTATGTACACATACATACACACACACACACAAATATATAATTTATTTTTTATTTAATTTGAAATAACTTTTTAGCTTCTCACGGTAGAAAAGAGAAAAATTCAATAAATAATCATCTTATGTATAAATCACTATACGTGTACAAGGCGATTGATAAATATCCGAAACAAAAAGTAAACAATTTATCGAATAAAACGTATTTATTTTTCAATAGAGTTACCTTCCGCCTCGGTACACTTTGACAAGAGAGAGAAAGAGAAAGAGAGAGAGAGAGGATTCTCGAGAGAGCATTTATATTTTGATAAAAAACGAGCTCTTCAAACTCGGTCATTTACGGCATCGATGAGTTCATTGTTAAAAAAAAAACTCGAAAATTTCTGTCCACCGCGCCATTTTTTCCGGATTTCGAGATAAATCAAAATCACACGGGGCCATATCTGACGAATAAGACGGATGAGACAGCGATTCGGAGCTCAACTCGTAAATTTTGTCCGTTGCAATAAACTGTGAGATGTGAATTTTCCATGTACAAAAATCACTAAGAGCGTCTGCTTTGGCAAGCTGTCACACAAAGACTGCGTGCGTGATAACAAACGTTTGACATTTGGAAGGATGTTCTTTGTTTGTTCTTCCGAAGGATGAAACTTGTCAACGAGACAACACAGCAATGTGATACCACTGTCGCTATCTATGCATCGCTTTTGACACTTATCAATCGCACCTCTCGCGTATAATTCTTGTGTTTTGCTTTTGATTATTTTGATTTAAATTTAAACTTCTTACTTTTTTAACAAATTCGTAAACGGATTAACTAGGGAAGAAACTAGTTCGACGAGTAATCTACGTTTCATCTTGCGCGAGAATCACCGCAATGCGGTTTCTCAGAGAGACTGCGAATTTCTTCCATTATTATAATCGCGATAGCGCAGACTTGGTTTTTTAAGTGACATCTCTCTTTCTCCTCTCTCTCTCTCTCTCTCTTTACATTCCGTTCCTTCCCTTCTTCCTGTCTCCGAAAAATAAAAAAAGAGAACCGTGACAGACAGACTGTACGTTTTTATCCAAGCGCGAAAAAAAATACAAAAACATTTTAGAAGAGAAAAAATTTGTTACATATAATATTTTTTGTCTACGCGTATAGAAAAAACAAGATGTTTCATGAATTTCGCGTTCACTCTCAAAAGTTCTTGCAAATTTTTATTTTTCAAACTGACAAGTCGCGGAATTTTTTCCAATGCGTTTTTTTTATTGAGACAGGTATCGTACTGTCTTAAAACAATTAAGTTGTTGCAACAAGCCGAGGGCATTATATGGCCTCGTCGATCATCCAGAAGAGCAACGTCTCTAATTGGATTCGCTTTTGCACTATATGCGAACTGTTGCGCAATATAACGAATGTGATAATCCCGCATGTGCATCATGTGCAGATCGCGCAAAGATGAAATCATAATACAAATCATTTCTTTCGTATGAAAACATAAACTCAACTAGTGTGTCAAGTATTCGATATTGCGGGACAAAAATTATTTTTTTCTTTTTCTTTTTTAATTTCGAATGATACACATATAAAAAAGAAGGAAATAAAAAATATACATACTGTATAATAAATTATCATAAATAAATTTTCGATGCACTGTAACATATCAGAGAGAATCGCAGAAATAAAATTTATTAAATGATTGAGCAACGAAGAGCGTCAAAAAAAATTCATATTTACTATCCCTTAATTATCGAAAGAATATATTCGCGAAAAACGCGGCTTATTCGAGTTATTCGCATTTATGCCGAAGATACACACGTACATATGTATGTACGAGTGGATCAATGACACTAACGAACGCGCGTCGCAAACTCCAAACAAACCGTTCTGACGTCGTCGGTGAAAGATATAAATAGATAGGTGAAAAAAGAGGAAAAAACAAAAAAACAAAAAAAAAAAAAAATGGAAAAGAATGAAGAGTTGAAGCGAATAGAACGTTCAATTATTCCACGTTGAATCTGCTCGTTGTTTTTGCGCTCGTCGTCGTGCCGAAAGCGTACGGACGGACGTTGCGGTGCACCCGGAACATGCAGTCGCGCGAAAACCTACGATAAAAGGGTGGCGCACGCATTGAAAGCAGTTTTGCCCGTATGTTACACGCCGCCCGTCCGACTTCTCGTCGTGCGCAATTTGTTTCGGGAGTCGTTGTCGTTCGGCAGGTAAATATCGTTACGACTAGCAGTAAAATTGATCGTTTTCGAATATATACATATAGTTCGCGGGAAAAACGACTCTCTCTCTCTCTCTCTCTCTCTCTCTCTCTCTCTCTCTCTCTCTCTCTCT